CCCCCTGCCTTAAATTAACTTAAATGTGTGGCTGGGTTACTATTTAAGGTGTGATTAACCTGCTAATCTCATCTTAAATGTAACAGTGTCAGAGGCCTAAATGTCAGAAGCTAAATATCCCTACTCAGTTCCAGGGTGGGTGTCTGGCTCCAGGAGCCAGGCACTGCCCCATCCCACCCATGTGTGCTGGGATTGGACCCTGCGGTCCAGCACCACCCTCTCCCACCAGAATTGGTTCTGAGGGCCCACCGCTACCCACTCCCACCTCCATGGCCAGGATTGTACCCTAGAGGTTGGGCACTGTCCCCTGCCATTGGGATGGGGCCCTGGCAGCCTGGCACACAGTGGAATTAGACCCCGGGGGGCCCTGGGACTCGGTGCCACCCTAGCCCAGCCCTGCACACTGGGATCAGGCACCTAATCCAGTGCAGGGCCCAGGGCTCCCCATGAGCTACTGCCCTCCCACCACCAAATTCCCAGACTATAGGGAATCCCATGGGCTGAATGAGACAGGACCATGGGCCAGATCTGCCTGGGGGCTCAACACTCTTGCTTTAGTTGAAAAGCTAATGCTTTACTCTTCATTTGTCCATCTTTATTCCATCCCTCATTGTCAGCCAGAACTGAAGGTTGCGTGAGCAGGTCTCTTGTGGGCTGTTGTACGGCCTAGAGCAGGAGTTCTCAAACTGTGGGTTGCAAGCAACTTAAAAGGGGGCCGTAAACTTCCCAGGAGGTATGCGCAGTGGCACGGGGATACGGCAGTGGCACAGAGTGGTGGATGGCAGCAGTGGCTGACCTGTGTGAACTCCCCATCATGCACTGTCACCATCTAACACTCGGGGTCGTGGTGTCACAAATTTGAGAACCCCTGGCCTATAGCAGTGTTTTTCAACCTGTGGGTCACAACCCAAAAGTGGGTCACAAGAATTTAAATAGGTTGTGAGAGAATCCCAGAAAAACAGGGGAAGGTATGGGTTTCCCTTTGCAAGCTGGCAGCATTCTAGCCAGCAAGGAGCTGCTTGGGGCAATTGGAGGCAGCGGGCAAATGTGCATGTGTGTGTGCACACATACGTGGCTGGCATGCAGCCAGGCAGGGTTGTAGGAGCAGCCCCAGCAGCTGGATGCAGTTAAGTGTATGGGGAGTGGGGGTTGGAGGTCCAGGGGCTGGGGACTGTCCAGGCATGGGTTTTTGGATGGGTGTGGGGGTTGGGGACAGGTGCCTACTGGCACTGGGGGAAGATGGCTGGGTGCCAAGGCTGCGTCATGGTGGGGGGTCCTTTGGGGGTTGAGAGAGCAGCTGTATGACTGGCCCAATGGCACTAGGGGTGGTGCCCATAATGGGGCATCTGGGAGATGGTGCTTGGGGGGCAGATGGGACTGTGACCAGGCTGCCTGGTGTGGCGCAGCCCAAGATGTGCGGGGGAGATGCCACAGGCCTTTTCTCCCTCTAGCCCATGCCATGGCTGGACTTGCCCTGCTGCCACCCTCATGAGCCAGAGTTGCTGCAGCTACCACGCTCCAGCCCAAATGGGATGGGGGCAGCCGGGGGCCCCCTCTGGCATGGCTGAGGGGGGCAGGGAGCTGCGGGTTGGTAGTGAGGGGCACCATAATGGCCCAGGGGGCAAGGAAATCTGGGCTAGGAGTAAGAGCACCAGCAGGGCCAGTGATCTGTGGCTTGGAGTTGAAGGGCACTGACTGGGCCAGCAAGCTGTGGGTCAGGACTGGCCATCAGTGTTTACAAATGGGTCTTGGTACAGAAAAGGTTGAGAACCACTGGCCTAGAGCATAATGAAATGAGCTGTCTTGTCTCCACAGTGAGTTCATCTCCAGTAAACTTCTAGTATGTTAATATGTTACAGAGGGGAAATTGTAGTGAAGAGAAATGAATGTGAGGTTTATTAACACTGGTGCTGTAACCAAATGCTTACTGGCTGATACAAAGCTACGATCGCACTACTAACAGCTTTGTCGGGAAGTGGGGCGGAGTTTTTTTGCAGTAGGCATTGTTTATTAAAGTGGGTTTGATAATTTTAGCTGCTGCTTTATACAGAAATCCTGGAAGGTACTGTACTTCAGTCATCAAGAGCATGTTTGCTGGGAGCGCCTATTAGAGAATGGCCACTATGAGTTTGCATACCTTTTTGTGAAAGTGGAGAGTAGGATGTTTACCAGAAATAGCCTTTTTCCAAAATGTTAATTAGTCCCTTGATCATATAAGAGGTTTTGAATAATCTGATGAAAATCTGTGCATGTTTCTCTATTACCTTTTGTGAAGTTTATTTTAATTAATTTTTAGGGTGCAGCAGTCTTCAGGCTAGAGAAAACCCTGAATTTATGCTTTCTTAACAAAATGTGTAAACAAACCCTTTCTGACTTCTTCCTACACTGTTTTTTTTTCTTATTATTACATCAGCATCAGTGGACAGTTTGTTCTCAGTCAGCACCTTGTGGCCTCCTACTTCAGGAGGCTGTAGAGTTTGGAGAGCCAGCTTTAGCTCCTTGTTCATCTTATACAAAATGTGCCCATTAACCCTTTTTCTATACTTGGCCTTTCTCAGATTGTGCATGTGGTATCTGTACACCACTTATTCTCTTTTGCCTGATGTTGCTGACACCTCTAGTACCTAGTCTAAATGAGGCCTTTGCACATAATTGTACCAATGGGAACTCAAACATGCTACACTTGTGCAGCTCCCCCAATAGGGTTTACTGCACCAGCATCAAGCCTGCAGATGCCCCCAGTCCTGTGTGGACCAGGCCTTTCAGTCCTCCTTTGCCAGTAGGGTCAGAAATTTTGGACTGTGCCTATTCACAGTGCAGAATACTTGCCAGCGTAAATTATAGCAGCTTAATTTTTCCCCAATGTAGCATATCCAGAACAAGGCTGGAGAGACCTTGCCGGGAGCCTACCAGACTGAAATAACTTTAATGTTTGAACATTGCTGTCCTGCTGCTGCTGTTTTTGAACATCTTTTTGACATTCTGGAGTTTATGTGAATACATTACAGTCTCCTTCTGTACGAGGAAGGGAGAGGGTTGACACCCCTTACAAACACCGGGGTGGGGTGAGGGGGATTGGGATTGGCAGAAAACAATCCAGTATTTTAGGGGCATGGAGGTGGTTTTGCAAGTGAACTCTTCAGATATTAGCATTGTTATACCTCAGCTATTGTAAGCTTTCATGTGGTTTTCACATTTAAATTCCAGAAACCAGGAAGACAGCCTGTGGTGTGGTATACACCATGAAGAAACCTCAACTGGTTGAGGAGGAAGAAGAGACCCTTCCAGCATGCAAAAGAGTCAAGACTCAAGTATGAGGATCAAAACCAGAAGGCACTTCCTCTCACCTTCCTCCCAACCCCTTCCTGGATTCACTACTTCACTGTTCAGAATGGAGTATATACATTTTTATATATGTATTTAAGTAAAAGAGATGCAGGAATAGGGCTGATATATTAACAGTGCTTCACCACAGCCAAAAGCTCTTTCTTTTGGTTTCAGAGGGCTAAGCTGCTTCGCCTGTTTAGAGTCATGGTCTACTCCCAACCCTATTCTCAGTCATGGGGGTAAGAAACATTGCAGTATTAGAATTTAAAAATGTTACCACAAGTTGTATGACTTTGTTTCTTTCTATATTAAAATAATTTTCCAATGAGCCCTTTTAGAAACCTGGCTGATGCTTCTCTTTGAGGCTTTGGAAGTTTCCATATACTTTATCTTACAACTGCTATTCAATACAGCCTGCTCTTGGAGCTGGTCTACGAAAGACAGTTGCACAGTGCAAAATAGCACTGCCTAATTTTGCATCATTATGATCATCAGCTGAAAAGGACATTCCAACATCTCTGAATTGGAAAGAAATCTAAGTTCATGTTAGAATAGTCTGTAATGGCCTGTCCTTCATTCAGTAGACATGCTGAAAATTAATAATTTGAGGTGATAGGTGCATACAGCAGATGGACTGCAAGGGCCCAAAGTAACACCATGTGATCAGTATGATGAGCCACTACAACGGTACAACAGCTGTCTCATCTAAGCAACCTCCACCTTATCCAAAAAAGGCAAAGCTAAATAAGACCATATGTCAGGGTCAGTATGTATGCAAGAGTGTCCATTCTGCTACCCGCTTCCTTCCACCAGTCCCTTCCCCTGTCCAGCTGCCTGCAAATTGTAGTTCTCTTCTAATCAATTCTCTCCTGCTGCCAGTCTTTTTTTTATGACTCTTTCATGTCCTGGTTAAAGCTTTAAGTTTTAAAAGTCATATACAAGCTTGTAATGGGCTCTTGGACTCATGGGCTGCAAACAGTGACTTCCTCAGGCAACAAGGTGAGAAATGCAAGTAATAATAAATATGTAAGTGATTGCAGAAATCTTTTTGCAGTTGATCCTCAGTGTGACTCAGCGCTGAACTGGGCAGAATTGTTTTAAAGCAAAAGTCAGTCTTACTAATACTTTAGGCAATGGCAGGCAATACTCACTGTAAGATTTTTTTACTTTGCGGTGCTGGAATATTTGCCTTTGTTATTGTCACTTCTGAGTTTTGTGAACAAGTTCAGTTCATCATCAGTCACGGTGTAGCTGATAATCAGGGATCCTGGTTTTCTCTGGGGAAAAAAAAATGCCCAATTTTTGGATTAAAAAAGTAACCCAAAATCCACATTTTTCCCTAATTAAAATGAAACGCCATATATATATATATATA